CTTAAGTAGATGGAGCCAATAAGATTCCAGACTGTTGAAGTCTTAGTTCACTGCTGCTTTTGCCATTGCTTAAATTCATTGAAATGTAAATAAAATTTCTGTTGTCATCCTTTTAAGATTTATTGACAGTTAATACCTTGTGCAAGGTTCTAGGTCTAATCTGAGCTAGTACAAGCAGTTGGTCCTTCATGCTACATTGCTAAACACATGGAATAGAGAACGGCTATAAAAAAAACTGAATTCAGTCACCTGGATCAACAACATCTCATAGTTCTCAGACCTTAGTTTTGCCTCTTTGTTAAGTCCACATTTAATTGTGTTTGTCCTGATGGAGAACTTTAAAAATGGGTGGTAGTGGTGTCTTGGGTTCTTTCTGAAGGTTTTATTTTTCTGAAGTGAAATGTGAAACAATGAAATTTTGTTCCTTTTGTAGAATCAAATTAATTTCTAAGAATTTAAGAGATTTAATGATAGCACATTCTTTGCATAAGTTTTAGTTTTTCACTAAGAGTAGTCAATTTTTTTATATTAGGATATATTCATTATATGGGGAGATTCATTGTGACAATTCCAATTAGACTTATATTGTACATTAGTTACCTTGCCCCCACCGTCTCTCTCCTTTAACCCCCTCCCTGCCTCACTTAAAGCAATTGCAAGAGGTTTCTTAGTTCTGTGTCTTATAGGTAGATGAAATCCATCTACCATGTACCACCAACTTAATCTCTGTCATTCACCCTCCCCCTTCCACTAGCCCCACCCCCACACTGTACTTATTTTATAGTCCATTTTTCATTATTAATATTTAAGTTAAAGTTCAAAGGGGTGTATCAATGTATGCCCACTGTGGGTATACTTTACTTTGGGCCATTCAACCCTTTCCATTAAAATTGTGTAAATATGTACCAGAAATTATAGGTGGATGGAAAGGGAGTCTAAAATGTTAACATAATTTAGAATCTTACCTGAGTTGAGACTTCCAGTTTCCTCATGGAAGAGCTTGGAGTTTTATACTAAGTTGTGGTTTAGATAGATAATTGCAAAATTCTAAATAAATATTTGATTATCTAAAATAGACCTGTCCCTTAACAATTTATAAGACTGAATACCATGTGATAATTGAAAGTTCAAGGATATATGACCAGTAGTTTTGTTAATGCAAAGAAATTCTGCATAATCAATATGAGCAGTTACAACTTTGAATTCCACATTCACAGAGACACCTCACCTGTGTTCCTTGCTTTAGAAGAAAAATCACATTGACAGAGACACCTCACCTGTGTTCTTTGCTTTAGAAGAAAAATTTAATGTAGCTTATCTTTGTAAAAATTGCCTTTTCTTTCTAGTATCAGAACTTAGGGCTTGGGATGTAGCTCAGTAGTAGAGTATTTGCCTGGCATGCATGAGTCCCTGGGTTTGATTCCCAGTATTGCAAAAAAAAAAAAAAAAACCAAAAAACAATTTAGCCATGATTCCTTATTAGACAGGACATTTCAGGAACACAACTTAAATGACATATGTGGGGTATTTCATAGTATAAAGACAAAACAGTCAAGAATAGTTTTAGTGGGATCTTTTGGCAAAAATGAGAAATGTGTATTCCTCAGTTCTCCCCTCCAGTTATTAACCTTGCACGATTAATAGCAGTCTTAGAAAAAGAAAGAATTTACTGAGTATAACTGATAAGAAGTCAGTTTTGTGTAAATAGAATATTGTTTAAAAAACTTTCATAAGCATTAAGTGCTTCTGTGGAGGGTGTAAGGAGGTGTTATAAGACAGGCTACCAGAGACCAGCAGATAACGTACCACGGTGGCAAATGAGAACGAATGTTCTGAGAGAAGCCAGGTGGGTCAGTAGTGAGCGAGGAGGAGTGCTAATCCATGTTTCCTGTGGTTTTTAGAGGCTCAAAGGATTTCAAAAATAGCATTGCTCTCCCAAATTGGTGGTTTCTAAATGCAGACCTCAATCTGAGTTTTTTTTTTTTAATTCAAAACAGAATACTTACTTGACTGCTAAAACTTGTAAATTTATCAGATGGGTTAAGTTAGTAATGTTACTGTTAGGGTGAACAGAGGGTAGAAGAGTTACCTAGATTTGAAAAGCCAGGTGTCAGGCAGGTGTTTTTCAAAAGAAGTTTTAAAAATGTATAGATAGATAGGAACATAGTGATGTTTGTATCCAGGTGTTTCTGTAATGATGAAGAATATTCCTATCTGTAAAATCAGATATTTGTATAACATGGTAAAATCTTTTTTTTCTCATTACATCTAAATATCTTGCATAGGATTTCTTTTTTTTTTTTTTTTTAATTATTCATATGTGCATACAAGGCTTGGTTCATTTCTCCCCCCTGCCCCCACCCCCTCCCTTACCACCCACTCCGCCCCCTCCCTCTCCCCCCACCCCCTCAATACCTGGCAGAAACTATTTTGCCCTTATCTCTAATTTTGTTGTAGAGAGAGTATAAGCAATAATAGGAAGGAACAAGGGTTTTTGCTGGTTGAGATAAGGATAGATTTCTTAAACCATTAACTATACCTGTTATTTTTTGTTTAATAGCCATGTTAGTATAGCCATTTAGAAAAATGGTGTTAAGGTAATTATGGATTACTCACTGAGGCCATAGTCTTTTTTAAATAGTCATAGTCTTTTCTTACCCTGACCAGATATCATGGTATTTGCTTAAAGGAATCTATATCTGCTGTCAGTTTCAGGGTATATACAATTTGTATTTTGTAATCATACTTGCTTTTTTATAATTGTTCTTTTTCAGGGTACCAGCATTTATGCTGAACATAATATGTATAATTTCATTTTTAGAGATTCAGTAATGAACTAAAGTGAGACGTGGAATAGCAATGATTTCAGTGGTACACTGATAGAAAAGAAGCATTTTTTTGGAATCTTTTTCATGTCCCAAGAACAGTGTGAATGTGTGTCTTCTGATTCAGTATGCCGTTTTTACCGCTTCAGGATTGAAAACTTTTGTGTATTTCAGATATTGATAGCCCAAACAAGACATGTGTTTTTAGCTCTGTTATTAAAACACTTTGACACAAATGTTACACAAACACATGCCAAAGATGTATATCAATTACTGGAGTTTAAAAGAGACATTAGTATTTATATGTTTTATTAGTATTTATATGTTTCTCTTGTGTTGTTTTAAATAACTTCTGTCTTAACTGATATATCAATTACCACCGAACCTGAGCTACTTATAAGTTCAAAAGTATATGTGTAACATAGTTAACCTGGACTTACAGGAATAAAACATAGAAAACCCTACAATATCAAATTTCTGATTTTAAAATAAAAGGTTTACCATGCCTCATTTTTTTTCCCACTGCTGAAATTAGTTAGTATTTTAGCTGGCACTTCATTTTTGGAGGAATGATAGGGATTATCTTGGCTGCTATAAAAGAATCCAGGACCATAAAGCATGCATTTTCAATTTCAATAAAATTACTTACTTCATTATGAAAACTTACAGTTTGGTAAATACGCACTTTCAGAACGTTCTCTTGATAGTTACTATAATAGTATTGTGTATTATACTTAAAAAACATTCTTAACTATCCATATTTTAGTTTATTATGGCACTAGTTAATTGCATAGTTTTGACAGGCACTAGAGATTGTAGTTTAATATCACAGACAATCTTGATTTATCTTCAGACTTCCTGCAGTGCTTACCTCCAGTCTTCTTCAGTGATGTAGAAGGAAATCCCAGATATTACATAATTTCACTGATAAATATTTCAATGTGTATTTCTAAAAGAGAATATAAATTATTTGTATATCCTGTGAATACAAGCTGATTTGGTTATGGAGCGGGAGTTCAAGAGTGCCTGGATACAGGCCTGTCATTGCATTTTATAATTGTAGTGAATTTGCATTTAGAAAGATGAGGAGTTTATACTACGTGGGTATTTTATTGTTACAGTAAATCTGAGACGATTTGGAATGTTGATTCTGTAAGTAAATCTATGAAAACATTATGAATTACTCATCATGTATATGTATGAAGTTAACAGTGACAGTCCTCATTTCAGAGATAACTTATTTATGGTTTGCTTTGTCTTTTATTTATGTTCCTTGTCCTCAAAATTGTTTATTTACATGCTGAGAGACAAGCAGCATGTAACACTTGGTTTCATGTGGCATTCTGTAAGCCAGGGTGTGTGCATCAAAGAAAGGGAGAAGGCAGAGGGAGGAAAAAGGAGAAAGAAAAACAGAAGGGAGGTAGAGAGAGTGTGGGTCTGAGGAAAGAGACAGGGAGATTAGGGAACCTCACAGCAGAGGTGCCAAGTTGTGGAGATGTAACTTGCCCTTTGTTTCATTCTCCTCTTGGTTTTGACTTTTCTGCCTCTCCCATTTCTTGGTTGCCCCTTTGGTTTACATCCTCTTCTGCCCATTTTTATTTTAATTTCAGACAGGGTCTCTGTGTTAGTCAGAATTTTTCACCACTGTAACAAACACCTGTGGAGAAGCCACCCCTGAACTCCATTTAGCAAGTCACACTAAAGCTTTAAGGAGGGGGTCTGAACCTAGAGCTTGACCATGTTTGCTGGCCCATCCCTCACCCCACCCCCATGGATGGCCACTGGCATTAACTGGACTTTGCCTATGGCAGTTAGGGTCTGGAAGATTGCTGATTCCTCCCTTTAAAAGGTGTTTTTATGATCTTCAGAGGTTGTAAGGTAAAAAACCAAAAATCTTACAGGGACAGTTGTTCTGCTTTATTTGCTTTTATACAGGTATTAGGAGTGTTTATTTAAACTAGTTCAAACAGTTGTATGCCTACTGTGGGCTAATTTGAACCTTCCTGTAGTCTGTGGATGAATCATACATTGTATGAAAGCAGTTTTATATAGACTTGGCTTTACTTTAGATGCTGTTAATGAACATTATATAGTAATTTTTCCTTTTTTCTGTGTGTTCTCTTTTGCTGCCCATTTACTGGATGAAATTGATTCTGTTCATATTTGGCTCTGCAGTTCACAAGATTCCTTTGCAGCTCACCTTTGGAGGTAAGTTTGCTCACTGGCCTTAATTGGAATTGCTAACTTAGCATCATTATTGGTACCTTTCATTAGGCATTTATTTAATAACTTAGGAGTGACCATTTGAAGTGATACGTGGATTTTTCAATAACAGTAATGGATTATATGCAGCCCTTTTGGGTAAATTTTGCTGAAAGTTGCAACTGTTCACCTTTGTAACTGCTCACTGTTTCCTTTTAAGTATTTTTACTTTCTTAGTGAATAGAATGAGTCCTTCCCTTTAAAGAGCCTTGTTGTATCTCCATTACTCCTGTAACTATATTTTTAACTTTGTATAAATTCCCCTCATGTTAAAGGAAAGTTGGAGAATCACAGGCAAAGACTGTCATCAAGAAAGTTCCACTTGGTTTGAGAGACCATTTTAAAATTGCAGGAGAAGAACAAAGGACTTGACTGATTTTGAGCTCTTGTAACATAGGCACTGTTTTGGGTGCTTCGTTGACTTCATTTAATCCTCATCTTGGTTTTCAATGTAGAACTGAGAGTTCAGTGATAAAATTATGAGATAAAGAAAAGTTGTTGGATACTTAGGGAACCAGACATCATTGTGAGCTACGGTTGTAGAGAAACTTGTAGATGATTGGCAAGACCTGGACAAAGAAGTAGAGAAAGGGAGGAACCAGAATATGTGAAGAGAAGATTGGACTTAGAACCAAACCTGGATTCAAAAGCATGTCTTCACTTGTTAGCCACATGACACTGGGTCAGTCACGATTTCCCTGAGCCTCAGTTTTCTCATCTTTAAAATGTACATAATTCTTACTTTCAAATAAGGCAGCCCAAATGGAAGCAGGTATAAATTGTGTTATTCAATTCCTATAGTTTTTTTTTTTGTATTCTTCTTTTAGGCTATACTTCAGCTCCACAAGCTCTGACTCTGTTCCTTTGTCTTTCTCTTTGCACCTATTGTTTATTTGACTTTAAGTCCCCTTTCCCACTCCCACCTTGTTCAAATCATACTCCTCTTCGGGTTGAGCCTGTTATATCCTCTGTGAAACTTTGACTTCTTCACATCGATACAGTTATTCCCTTTTTTGCTTCTAAAACATCATATTCATTCAGTTATTGAAAGTGTTATTGTTGATGATGAGTTGTGGACATCATGGCACATTGAACATGCTGGAGAGTAGTTCTGAGTGATCACCAGGAGAATAGACCTGGCCAGAGAGGCCAGCATCCAGATTTGGTCACATTTTCTAAGCATTCATTGTCAAGGGCGAAGCAAAGTGATACAAAGGAAAGTTCTGGGCTTTGAAATAAGAGAGACTTGGTGGCCCATGGGCAAGTCATTAGTCCTTCTGAGTTACTGTTTTCTAATCTAAAAATGGAAATAATACTTAAGATTATGAAAATTACATGAGGTGATTTGTACTAACACTGAGCACAATGACTGAAACATAGAATTTTAAATAATTCAGTGTAAATCAAAAAAATAACCTTAAGAATCTTGAAGACAATACAGATTTTATTATCTGCCCTTGAGTTGGAGAAGTACTTCCTAACCAGAGAAGCAGTAGGAAGCATCACAAAGGAAAGAATGACGAAATTAATTTGATTATATAAAGGTACATAATTTTGTACATGAAAATAAATATAGTTGACAGACAGTACAGGGAAACTATGATTAAAGTGTCATTATGTTTACTATATTGATCCTTTAGAATCAGTTAAAAATACTCTCAATTTTTTTGCATAAAACTTGGTTGGATCTTATCAAGTAGTTGATGAGATAAAATATAAGTGAGAATCAGTGTGTTTTAAAAGTTTATCATTAATCAAAGAAATACAGTTTAAAACAATAGTGATGCACAATTTTTTACCTGTTGAGTTTTTTTTAAGTGAATGCTTGAAACAGATGCACAATTTTTTACCTGTTGAGTTTTTTTTAAGTGAATGCTTGAAACAGTGTGATGAGATGTTTATAAACTTTATCCTTTAAGCGAAGTTGTTTGTCATGTGCATTAAAGGCTTCATATGCATTAATGACTTGTTGTCGAGTAATTATATTCTAAGAATTACTACCATAGGCATAATCAAAGATGGGGACAATACTTGCATACAGTTTTAATATAGTATTATTTATAATGGTAAAAATCATAACCTAAATGTCCAACAGTAGTAAAAGGGAATAATATAACATACGATAGAACACTGTACAGTATACCCTACAGTATATGCTGATGAGTATATATATATAATATATGCTATATTAAGAGTTAAAAGCAGGATGTAAAATTATAGTGCAGATCTTAATTTAAAGATAGTTTAAGTGCACAGAAATTAGAAAGGAAATACATGAAATATTAGCACCATCTACAGAATATTAAATTGTTTTACACTTTACTCTTCCAATAAAAGACCCACAATGGATAGAGGTACATTGCTAGTTTTTGGCAGTAGATCTTGTCACACAATTTCAGCAGGATCTTAGAGGTGTTTCCAGGAAGAAGGGCTCTTAGCAGAAGGCACCCTTGCACAGGGAGCCAATAAGAAGGTTAGATCTGGATGTCCACTTCACTGGACAAGTAACCATTTACAAAAATGCTTCAAAGTAAATCTCACCAATAAATTTCTCTGAAGTGTAAGCTCTGTAAGAGAGGACCCTGTTCTTACTTCCTTTTGCTTCCATTCTTGATATAATAATAAATAGTGTGTAGTAGACACTAATTTAATAAATACTTGTTGAACAAATGAATGGATGGACAGATGAAGAAATTAATGAATGAACTTGGTAAGACTGAGGCTGACAGTAGCAATCCTTTATCCATAGTTTGGCAGGACTCAGGTAGTTAGCAGCCATGGGTTAGCATTTATTGTTTAATGTGGTTGACTGTCTTCCCAGCTTGCTTGTTGTTGATTAAGATTAGGAGTTTTGTCTTTTCATCTTTGGTTGCTGTCAGTTGTAGATTAAGGGCTTGGATCTTACTCACTACACTTATAGGGAACCAAACAAATACATATTTTTTCGTTGCATCTCACTACTATGGTTGCACACTGAAAATGGATGTGTGGAAGCTTTAGTTTTTGATGAAAAGTACAAAGCAAAGTACTGTGTTTTAAAGTTTGGTGATCGTTTCCATCATTTTCTGTCAGTTTTCTCCACTCAAATGATTTGAAGTTGTATTTTACCTTGCCTAAGTTCATCATTTTTATTAGTGGTCTAAAAGACATGAAAGAGGAAGGTGAATTCAAAATGATCAGTATGATTTTCTTTTTTTTGGTGTGAAATACTTTGAGGGTTTCTGTTAATATTTATTTTATTTTTTGTTGTCAGTACTGGGGTTTGATCTCAGGGCTTCACGTTAGCTAGGCATGTGCTTAATACTTGAGTCACTCCTACAGCCTTTTTTGCTCCAGTTATTTTAGAGATAGGGTTTGGTTTTTGTCCAGGCCAGCATGAGCTGTTGCTTCCTGCCATGATAGGCACATACTACCACATCCAGCCATTGGTTGAGATGGAGTCTTGTGAACTTTTTTTTGCCTGGACTGACCTCTAATCACTGTTCTGCTCTCCACCTGCTGAGTAGCTAGGATTATAGGCTTGGGCTCCCACCCCTGGCTGATGCCCAGTTTGTTTTTTGAGATAGGGTCTCACCAATTCTTTTGCTGAGGCTGGCCTCAAACGACATAGTTGAAGTTATAGGATAGCACCACCATATTCAGCTCTGTTGGTATTTCTCTGACTTGGAATTTCCTAGGAACTGCCTGGTGGCTTAGTGAGTGGCAGCTACCTCCAGGTCTCCCTTAGCAGCTCTGAGCTCAGGACTCTGTTCCTTTCCACCACACAGTGTCTCAGAGTCAAAGCAAAGCCAAGGCAAAAGAATGTTGGATATCTCTGAATGTTTAATTTTGCCATTCACCTTATGTTTTAGCTGAAGATGGAAAATTATAAATACAGTAAATACTCAGAACTTTCCCTAGTTTTGAAGAAAAGAAAAATAACTGTGATAGAGACAATAAAATAGTGAGACTTGCAGTTGAAAAATAAAGATGACTTTAAACTTCACTTTGTCCACAAAACTCCTGTGAATGAACCATGTCCCTTTGTTGTAAGTCCTACACATTTAACTGCCACATGAATCTAATGAAATTGTCAGGTTATAGTAATTACATCAGTAATTTGATATGTTGTCATTTGAATGGACCATGTGTGGAGAGTCAGTTACTTCCCTCTGTGGTGCTGACCCTTTTACATTCCTGTAAGCTGAAGACTAATAGCACTCATTAAGCTTTATGGGAAAAGAGCTTTTATCACCTCGTCAAGTCAGGCAGCATATTTCCATTATATTGCTAATTTTGTGTGGCTCTGTAGCTGCGGATGTGTGTTCCTCTGCTAGTTTTACATTGGACCTCTGCCTTACAGACATTTTTATTGACATTTCTGAATCTGAATTATATTTTGTGTGGCACCACTTACAGATGTCTTCAATTAAATGTAGGTAAATAAAAGGGATTATATATCAGAGGCCAAAAGATTCTTGAAATTCTCTTCAGAGTCAGTTTGCCAGCCAGTCTTACAGGGTATATAGTCTCATCATCATTTTGGAGGGCGGAGAGCTATAGGAGAGGCATTTGTAACAAAAGTTAAACCATGTGTGAATGTGGGCCACTTAGGTTTCTCTTCAGGTATGTCCTCCTATTCCTCCATTTCAGATCAATTAAAACCTTCTGTTGTAATAGTTACAATTATTGAGAAGTTAGCACCTATGGCATAGGAACTGTGCTTAGTACTTTACTTATGTTCTCACAGAATGCCCACCTCTTACGAAGGAAATCGAGCCAAGAGGTAGATTAAATTAGCTACATGCTCAACATCACAGGTAATGTTATCGACATACGGTGTTCTCAGAAGATCTTGGTCCTTGAGCTCCAAATGGAAGAGTTCAAGCACGTAGATGGGGTGAGGTAGAATAGCTTTATTGAGAGTAGGGAGTCACGCATTCTGCCAGGTGAGGGACGAGAAGAAG